TGCCGAATCTCTGAGATGTGACCACGTGGCTGCAACAGCTGAATGTCAAGAACCCGCTCCGTGATAAAACTCATGGTGAGGTCGGAGAGGAGGACAAAGGACAAGAGGGAGAAAGACGGGAGAAAGTTAGGTCGTCGTCGTTCTCTTCGCTTTCCGAGGAAGAAGAGGGAGGACGATCGGAAGGAGGAAGGAGACAGAGGTAGGAGGTATGCCGGACGATGGGGACAGAGCCATGGCTGGCACTAGCTTGAGGCGCGACGCGCACCGTGTTGGCGCCGTTGGGTCCGAGTTCGACAACGCGAAAACAGCCAGAGAACTTGGGAGCGAGTTTCCGGTCGCGTGCACATTTACGTACCTGCACTAGGTCCCCTAATTTATACTGGTACTGGGGCCCAACATTTCCATTCCGGGCCTCGTAGCTACGGATCTGTCTCCCGTGGGCCAGTTCGGTCATCATTTGTCTTTTTCGGGCTAGCTTCGGGACGGCCCGTTCCATTAATTCGGTGTACCTTTTGGCCTTGGCCTTGAGAGCTGCACGCGTGTCTCTACCCCCTGCTTTGGCAATTTCCGAGTTACCCCGGTAATCGACATAGGGGAGGCTATTAGTTCGAAGCTGAAAAGGGGTAAACCCCGTAGACTCATGAGGGGTGGCCCGGTGGATCCCGACGATCTGATATACGATCTCGGGCCAAGGACGCGTGTCGTGTGCCGCTAAGTTCCTGCGAAGGGCGGTTTTAATCATACGGTTAGCATTCTCGGCCAACCCATTCGACTGGGACACATGGGGTGCCGTATGTCGGAGCGTGACGCCCCTTCTCGCAAGCAGTTCCTCTACCTCACCTTTGAATTTCGACCCATTGTCAGTTAGAATTTATTCCGTATCTAGATGGGTATAGAGGAATCGTTCGAACTATGTGGCTATTTCGGCGACCTTTCGGGTCTTACAAGGATAAACTTCGATGTATCTGGAAAAATGGTCAATTAAAACTAACAGGATGGAATATTCACAGCGGTTTGGGTCAGGTGGCACGTCAATATCTGTCATGTCCATACTGACTCGCTGGAAAGGACACTCTACTTCCGTTGGTACGGTCGTGTTTGGTCCCCGTATAGGGGCGCGATCAGCGGCACAGACCAGACAGTTAGCGACAATGTACTTGACGTCATCTCGTATATTCGACTAGAACCATGCCTCCGTGACACGTATCGCGAAATGAGCGGCCTGTTCTTCGTGAGCAGATCGGATCCAATCGTATCTCTGGAATGGATGGGGAACTTTCAACCACGAACCCGACCCGTCAGTTTTACGCTTTTCCAAATGACCGTTGATCCATCGATAGTCCCGAGATCTCTCGGTTGCCCTACGTCTGTCGTGTTTGGTGAGGTGGCCCAACGATAATCCCGCTAATTTTGCTAATAAAATTTTATCCGTCCAAACCTCCGCTCGTCGGTATTTTTCGTCATATTCAGGACCGTCCGTACGGGCGGCCTCGAATCGAACCTCTGTGGGGAGCTTGCTCGTTCTACACAGGGGGCACTTCCTTTCCTTGTTATTTGTCCGATATCGAACGCAGGCCCCGTGCGCACGGTTGACACACGTGGCACATTCTACCCAATCGACAAACCCGGTTTCGAAGGGATGACAGTCGACCCCATAAACCCGTGCAATGCACGTGCAAAAATAATAGAATTTATCGGGGAGGGTGGCAAAGAAAGTTGAGGAAGTAAGAGGAGTTGAATTAGTAGGAGAAGAAGGGGTTACGGAAGCAGGCGGGACAGACATGACGACAGAGGGGGAGATATGAGACTGAATATGAGGGAGAATTAGTCTGCGTGTCACTTACTGCTTCACCAGGATCTCCACTTGGCCGTACCGAGGTCCGATCTCCTGTTTCGGTTCGTTCCATGGAATCACCTCCTCCCTCTTCAGAACTTTCTCAGGTCGGTGCAACCGTGTCAATCCGTCCACGTTCCCGTGTCTCTCATGCTTCCGATGACGGATGTCAAAGTCCATGCTCTGCAGCACCGTTACCCATCGCCCGATCATGCCCGAGTAATCCTTTGACTTCTTCAGAGCCAACAGGGGCTCATGATCAGTCACCAGGGTGAATTTTCGCCCGTACAGGTAAGCACGAAAGTGACTGATTCCCCAGAGAGCGGCATAACATTCACCCGTTGGAGCGGCGTAATTGCACTTGCAGGCGGGCACTGATTAGGACGCATACTCCACTACAATCTCGAGTCCGCTCGGTCCCACCTGGGCAAGGATCGCCGAAATCGCCTCTGGCTGCCAGTCGGTGATGAAAACAAAAGGTTTTTCGGGATCCGGTCTTATAAGAACCGGAGCCGAAATGAGAGCAGCCTTGAGTTTGGAAAACGCTTGATCGCACTCCGGCGTCCAGATCAACGACTGATCCTTGCGCAGCAGATTTGTGAGGGGTCCCGCAATCGCCGCGAAGCCCTTGATAAATCTTCGGTAGTACGAGGCTAGGCCCAGAAAGGCGCGAACTTGTGTAATAGTCGTAGGCACCGGCGCGTCCCTGACAGCTGCCACCTTCTGCGGCTCCGGTTGGAGTCCCTTGTCTGTCACCACATGCCCCAGGAAGGAAATGGTGGTGAGGAAAAACTGACATTTCTCAAGCGCCACCTTGAAACCTGCATCTCGTAACGCATGCAGTGCCCATTCGATGTGTTGCACGTGTCCCTCGCAGGAACTCGAATACACCAGGATGTCATCCATGTACACAATCACACAGTAGTTGATGATGCTCTGCGCCAAACGAGTCCTGCGCACGAAGTTCTGAAAAGTCATGTTCATAGCCCGCTGAAAGGTCGCAGGAGCATTGCAGATACCCATCGGGCATCGAATCCACTGCCATGTACCTTCGAAAAGCACAAACGTCGTTTTCGGACGATCTTCTTCTCGAACAAGAAGATGATGGAACCCATGGCGAACATCAAACTTGCTGAAAAATCGAGCACTCCCAATCGCATCCAACAACTCATCAATCCGGGGGAGGGGGTACACATCTTTCATCGTGATATCATTCAACTTTCGGTAATCAATGCAAATGCGAATCCCTCCGGCCTTTTTAGGTACGATCACTACAGGGAAAGACCATGGTCCTATAGCGGGTTCGATCCATCCATTAGCTTCGAACTCCTTAATCCGCTGAAAAGCGGCCGCTCGTTGAGCTGGCGAATATCGGTAAGGAACACAGCTAATGGGTGGGTGGTCCCCCGTGAGAATGGCATGCTCGATCACATTAGTCAGACCGATGTCATTATCGTGTACGCTCAATACATCTGCGTAACCATTTAACACATGGATTAACGACTTTCGTAGTTCCGAGGGAACGTGATTCGGGAGGGTGATAGCCGATTCCTCGGACATCTCAAGGGGCACATCGACCCAGTCAATCGACCGTTCCCGCCGCTCATCGACACTAGAGAAAACGRAACTACTTGTGCGAACAGAAAAGACAGTTGCTATCATCTGGGACTCAGCGGGGCTGATCATCTCCGTTTCTTTAGTTTCAGCGCCGGTTTCTAAACCAACCGAGGTCGGTTCCACGGTTAGCCCGGTTAGATCCGTCATTTCTTGCATTAGATTCGGTACGTCACTTACCGGTGYTTTCGCCTCTTGTTTAATCAAGGCGATGGTGGCTCCAGTCGTCAATAACGATCTGGGCGGAAAAACAGAGACATCCAAATACTGTTCCGTTTGCTGATAACGCGTTCGTAAGGAAAGAGCTCCCTCGTACAAGGTGCGAGGGGTTCCAAATCATCAGCCTGATTGGAGACTTGTAATATGGGTTCCCCGAGGAGGACTGAAGGACTGACCTGGGTTGTTAGAGGTGTGAATGCACTGTCTTCAGAATCCACGTGGACGCTTCGAGCGGTGTCGGGGCACACTCGAAATTCTTCAGGGGTTTCATGTTCGAAAAGTTCAACCAGATGTTTCCATTTCTCTTCACTGGGCATCTCTTCTTCGTATTCTCGCTCCCTGATTCCATCCCCGAGGCGCAAGGGGGAGCATTCCTCGGGATCAATGCGTCGGATCATCCCTATCTGGGGCGAGTTAGGAACCCGTTTTATCGTTCAGTCTGAGGTTTTCCCCCAGTTTGTGTGAGCACCACTTGTTTCGAATCGAAATGCAGACGTGCGCCCACCTCCATCGCCCAAGGCAATCCCAACAATACAGAATAGGAACGTACATCTATTACGAGTGCGTTAACAAGAACATGTACTCGTCCAACTTTTACGACCACATTCTCGATAATGCCTACGATGTTCCTCGCTTCCTCGTCGGCAGAGACATAGTTGTCTCTGCCAGATTCAGGAAGAATAGATCCAAGACGTCCCATATTTTTGACAGTGTCCAATGATATGGCCACTGCAGAAGATCAAGGGCGTTAAACGGCTTCCCCCAAACTTCACAGTCACATTCCGCACTTTTTCATAGTACCGGTCGAGCTCGTACGAAGTGATCCTTGTCTGCTAAAGAGATCGCAGCTATTCGTGCGGCTTCGGGTTCTTTCGTGTCAGGCTCGGGAGGTGCAACTTCCTCGTTTCCTTCCTTCTTCTTCAGCATCCGTTGTATGCGCTGATAGGTGAAGCGCTTTTGATTTTTCTCGCAATGTTGTAGAAGTTTATCGTTCGCTGCTTCAGATATAGTGAGCAGATGTCCTACTGGGACAGGTACACGAATATCTAATTGCTTGAGCGTTTTCAATACATCAATATCTCCTGTCCAAAACTGCAGTCCAGGATTGGACTCGCGATCGACCCATTCGAGATCATCTTGGGCCGATCGGATCGCTCCGATCATTCTGGCAAGATGGAGATACTCGAGGGGATCGACCACGTCAGCACCGTCAGAGGAAGAAGCTCCTGAGGTCGACGCTATTATCGTCGAAGGGGAAGGCTGTTCTGGACCCCAGGGATCCTCTACTTCAAAGGGTTTGAGGACTAGCTCATCCCTTTGTTCATACCCATTTGGCGCTTGCCAAATAGGATAGCCTACACAGCTGGGCACTCGCGGCGACCACTTATTGATGTGGAGACGAACATCTTCTTTCTGATATAGAAATCCATCAACTGAGGGCGTATCCTCCACCGCCTCCCCTTCCTGTTTATCCTAGTTGATCCTACTCAGCCCGTCCGCCCGGTTCTTACTGCCAGGTATCCGTTCCAATTCGAAATTGAACATCCAGATGTACGTCAACCATCTGGCAACCGTCGGATCTGATGGGACGTAATTCCTTAGAGAGTAGGCCAGGGCGGTCGGATCCACTCTCAAAATAAACCTTCTGCCAAAGATGTAGTTTCGGAAGTTTCGCAGACAATGGAGGACGGCAAGGGTCTCCCTCTTGAACTGAGCGTAGTTCCTCTCCGTCGTGCAGAGAGTCCGGCTCTCAAATCGCAAGGGTCTTTTCTTTCCTTCCATGTCTGCCTGAATTAGAACTCCCCCTAAAGCAGTCGGCCCCGCATCCGTTTCGACAATGAAGGGTCGCGTCTCTGTGGCGTCATAATCTGACGCTCCTAACACCAACCCTCCTTCTCGAAATTCTTCCTTCATTCTGGCTACCACCTCTTCTTGTTCTCCACCCCAAACCCATTTCTGGTCCTGACGAACTAACTTCCTCAGATGTTCAGTCTTAGCGGCAAAATTCTTGACGAAGGCCCTCCAAAATCCACACGTACCAAGGAAGCTTCTGACATCAGTTACTGAGTGGAACAGGACTAGCCACTCAGTAATCTTGTCCGTCTTCTTCACATCCGGCCTCCGACCCTTCTCGCTGCAGACGAACCCCAAAATAGTCGCTTCCCTCATGCAGTGTCTAGATTCGGCCCCGCTCGCCGTGAGGTTATGCTCCTCGAGTAGGCTCGGGACTTTTTCGAGGTCCTGAATATGCTCCCAAACAAAGCGCCTTACCCCTGGCGAGACTTCATCGCTCTCCTTCACTGCTGGCCCCTTCACTGCCAAATCGTCGATGTATGGCTGTGTAATATGGGGGTTGACTGACTGCATAACCCGAATCATGGCCCGTTGGACCATTGCTACCGCATTGGTCCACCCTTGAGGGGCCACGTTCATGTGGATTAATCCTCGCGGCGTCTGCATAGCCGTCACCGGCCTATCTGGCGGGTAGACCGGAAACTGATCGTATCCTGAGTAAAGGTCTATAAGCAAAATTATAGGTCTTCCAGCACAGGATTCCGACAAAGCATCCGCATTTGGCAGTCCTCCAGCATCTCACACGGTCACCGCATTTAACCTCTGCAGATCTTGCACCCATCGCAGCGTCCCGTTAGGCTTAATGAAGCAGAACCACGGGGACGCATATGGTCCACTAGAATAGTCGGCGACGTGTGTACTTATCTTGCCGTCGAGGTAGTCCACCACCTTCTTTTCCCCGTCAGGGGTAGGATATCGCGCCCCTCTCATGTTCCAAGGCTCGTGTGGCACGGTGTGGATGCGGATCATAGGTATTTTGTCCACATCCAGTCTGCCACGCTCCTCGTCGCTAAACGCATAGGCGCGATGCCTCCTCTTCATTAATTACACCATCAATGTTCGCTCTTGAGGCAGTAGGAAGTCGGGTTCCCCTATAATCAACTCCCCATCGTTCCCTTCGTTGATACGACATGGCCCTGCTAGAGCACTCTCCCTCATTCGCCGTATCAACCCTCGTTCCCTCTCGTAATATGCTTCCTCGTCCTCTGTAATGAGGACGGAAACCGGGCGGCACTTCTTGTCTACCGTCTTGTACCGCCTTTGGGAACCCTGTTTGAGCCGTCCCCTAAAAAAGGCCGACTTACAGATTGTGTTTGCGCTGATGCGGGGTGCCCTCCGCTGCCTGGGAGCCGATATAGCAACTCCAACCTTCCTGCCTCGGGGCATTCCAGAACTTGCACCCTCAAAACCTGGATGGCATCCGGATCTGCCATCTCATGGGCGGCCACCAGGTCCATGGCCTTCCCAATATCTGACAAGCTGAGGGAAAATGCTTTCACCCTCTCTCCTGCTTCGGGCTCTGCCCGGAGCCTTCGGCGCTCCCCTTCCGACTCCTCGATCGTGAATGATCCTGGATTGGGCCGGTTCCTTATACTCCCTGGCCCGGTGTTCCTGCAGGTAATTATTTCGTAATTCCCGCAGGCAGGAACGCATAAGAGGAGGATTAACGTCTCGTCATGCTTATTGAATATCACGGTCTCCGTTCTGCTCAGGAATGACCTCCCTAGGAGGATTCCGTGATCCACGTCCGGCATGATGAAGAAACAATCCTTAGCCTTCACCTTTCCAACCTCGATGAGTACATTCGAGGTTGTCCCACAAAATACGGCCTTGCAGCTGGCTCCGTGCAGAATACTGCAGTCAGAACGGCCTATATCCAGCCCGAATCTGATCGCATCCACCTCCCGGATGATGTTCATTTCCGCCCCGGTGTCCACCATTGCTGCACACTTGGAGCCTTTTACCACTAAATCCACCGTGTCGCAGGCCACGCACTTCCAATCCATCTTCGTGCCTGACTCTGCCCATTCTGCCTCCTTGGGCAGAATCGTGCCCAGATGGACATTGGGCACCAAGCGCCGCGACAATCTCCCCTTCAGTTCATCGCGGAGCCGCGGGGCTGACGCTAGGATTTCCTTCAGGGTCATGAGGTCATTATGCCCCTCCAACAGCCTGTCAATTACTCTCTCTACGTCAAATCCCTCTTCCAACCGAACCGCGTATTTCTTCTTTTTGGGTGGTCCGTCATGTATAACCGGTTTGGCCTCTTCCCTGGTTCTTTTTTTTCTTGCCCGCTGTTCCGCTCTCTGATCCTCCTCTTTACGCAGCTTTTCGTCCTCTTCCTCTTCATCATCGTCGTCCTCTACTTCCACAGCCTCTTTCCTTCTCCCTGATTCGGGTTCTCTCCTCGGAGGCTCTTGGCTGGCACTGGCCTTGGCTTGATTCCTCGTTCGCGCTGCCTGTGCCAGCCGGGCCTGCGGAGTGAGGGGTCTTCCCCTCATCCCCGATTGTGGGCACAACCCCACCACATTTACTCCGGGTCGCCCAGGTGCTGACTCCGGGCCGGAGTCATAGAGGAACACTTTGGGGATGTTAGACTTTCATCCCTTCACTTCCTCACAGAGGCCCACCAACTTCTGTTGGTGGGCCTCCCCATCTTATCCAGCAGCTCCTCCATCTTCCCAAATAAGACGGACGGAGGCTCCATTCTCTCCTCCTCATCCTCGTTATCTGACTCGATGATTATGGGCTCTTCCGTCTTACTTCCTCCTCTTAGCTCTTGAGCCACTTCCTTATCGCTCTCCATTTCCTCCACCCCAATCGGTGGTTCCTCCTTTTCCTGCCATAGCCTAAACATGGCAGGGGGTGGTGGCCCAGCTGCCGCCCTTCGCTGGGCTTCCGCCCTCACCCCTCCAAACCTTCTGTCAATGGCCTCCCCAAACTGATCGTAGATATTCTCATCCATAGTGGAGGAAATCAGCCCGCTCCTCTCATCTTCCCGGCTTATATTACAGAATCTTATAGTGTGGCCTTGTTGGTCACAATGTTGACAAATGGCCATCCTCCAATCAAAACGGGGTCTTCCATACCCCTGACTTCCCTAATCCCCCTGGCCTTGATACCCCTGGCCTTAGTACCCCTGGCCTTGGTACCCCTGGCCTTGACTCTCTTGGCCTTGGTACCCCTGGCCTTGACTCCCTTGGCCTTGGTACCCCTGGCCTTGATTCCCCTGGCCTTGGTACCCCTGGCCTTGGCCATTCCATTGCCTCCCTCTTCCGCCTCCATTCCTGCCTCGCCCCCTTCCTCCACCCCTCCCTCCGTTGCCTTGATTGTCCTGCCCCTGGTTCCCACCTCCTGCAACACTGCCCTGTGAACTGGGAGCAAGTGATGGTGGCGGGGCCACAGGCTGGGCCTGGGTTGTGGGGTAGATTTGTGGTGGCATACTCGTTTGCGGTCCGGCTACTGGCGGCGGGCTTCCCCATGGCACAATTGCATTGATCACCGGCCAGGGCCACTGTCCGTAGGAGGGCGCCCYACCTTGCGAGGGGCCCGTACTAGATGATGGAGCCGCCACATTTAAAGGGGCTGCTGCCTTGGCCTGAGGCGCCTGCGCTTTTCCTGATCCCTGTCCGCCCTGCACCAAATTACGCACTTTGCGTTGGACCTTCGTCAGGTGCTGCGGCACCGACTCTTCCTCTTCCCAGAGCTCCTCCTGAACAACCTCCTCTATCACCGGCTCTTTTCCTTTCACTTTGACAGCCGTCACCACCCTCCTTTGCACCAACGGCTCTATCGCATACCCTAGTTGTGCCAATACGTCGGTAACAATCCTTGTTACTCCCGGGGTTCCAGAAGCAGTCGCATCTCTTTCCTTTCTCTTCTGCCTTTGCAGGCGTACCTGACGTTGCTCCACCTGGTCCAAACACCCAACTTCCACCCCTCTGGCAATGGTGGCCCAGGTGAGCTTGGTGCTACCTCCTCCATGTCTCGTCAACTCGACGGTCTCCGACGCCGTGAGTAGCCCCAGGAAGATGGTGCACTATGCTTCCTCCGAAATCCCATGGACCTTCCGCACCCTTTTCTTAAATTCTTGGACAAAAGCCCCTATCGTCGTAAAATCCTCTTTGTTCATCGCCTCAAGGTCCGCGGTAGTCAACAACCCGTCTCCCAGACGGTACTTCCTCTGCATCCCCTCCTTAAATCTCTCCCAGCTGCCTTGGGCTGCATCTATGACTTTCTTCACCTCTTGGTGGTAGCTGTGGAGGACATACTGAAAGATGCGTTGAAACTTTACTATGTCCGACCGCCCGACCAAAGCTTGTTCCACCCGCTCCAGCCATTCCGAGACTCTTTCCCCACAAAAATGGAAAGTATCGACCTTTGGGATATTACTCGGGTTCCTTTCATGCCGGTCGATGGCCTCGATGAGGTCGTCGAGTGTCAGACCCTTTTTGGGTGCACCCGATGCGCCGCCAGTTTCAGGCATCTTGACAGCCTCTTTTTTTCAAGCTTCCTGATAAGAAAAAGAAAACAAGCATACCCCTTTATTCAACATTACGCCTTGACCGGCCTATTCCACCTACTTTACCTAACTTTTTACTACATACTTTACTCAATACTAGCACAGTCGCCCCTCATAATTTCCCCTAACTCGTGCATGTAAACTTTCTCACCTACACTTAGTCACTCATTATTTCTCCCTTACCCTCTCATCATTCCTTTATGCCCTTTTCTTATTCACTTCTCTTACCCGGATGTCGTTCCACCAGGGACAACGGTAGGCTTTCCGTTATCCCCGGCAACGGCGCCACCTGTCGAGCGCATCGGTCCGGCACCGCACCAGGGCAGCGCGGGACCCTCCCGGCCGCGTCACGCAAGAGTTGGTTTAAATCCTTCGTCACAGACAATACATGTGGAGTTTCCTTAAGCCGCTCCGGCCGAGTGTGCCAGCCATACCTCTCGCAAGCCCCTACGACAGGATAGGCCCTACGTGAGGCACGACTTACCTACACCTTACGGGAGTTATCACCTCCCTTCCGTGGGCGTATCCCCGTCGAGCTACCAGTCCACAGTACGAAAGCTAATCAGTTGCAATCGCAGAGGTGGACCATCCGAGGGCGTTTCTCGTTCGCTGTAGCATAGGGGGTACGCGCGGTAATACGCCTCTATCGAACCCGCATGCGAACCGACATCTTGGGGGGCTGAGGTCTCAAGCGTGACTCGACGTAGGTCGACTAGGACGCATCCTACACACCACGCGCATTCCACTTCACAAACACACATACGCACAAAACAACACATATACGAAACGACACAACACAAACAACGCGACAACGCTCCTAGTCCCTCGGTAGCCAACCCATAACTTTCCAATGCGAAAATCAAATAGGCGTCGCGCACGAGACTTAGTATAAAACCGCGCGGACACAGGGCTAACTCATATCGACTCGCAATGCAAGCGTACACAAGCGGTCGCAACGATGGCGTACTATGTAATACCCATACTTACGTGGTCCTCGTTAATCTCGAGGGTCGCATTCGACACTCAAGTGTCGGTTGACACGAGCCTTGAGGGTTAAATATCTCGACGTTGAACAACCGTCATGCGCGGTTGAAGACCACACCCTCTTCTGCACCCTGTGTAGAGGGGTTGAGTAGACAGCTTTAAGCTGTCGTGGCGGTCGAACATCAAGGGGTTTGACTTTGACGGCTGTCACGGACTATAACGTTCAACTATAAAAACTCCAAAGAGCAAAAGATAAGGGATAGGCCGAAGGCTCCCCGCCTACTAAACAAAATCATAGCCCTGGGGTACCCTTCCTTTGTTTCGTGCGGCGTTGGCGGCTTGTAGCAATCTCAAACATTCGCCCATATGTGTCGGTCCCATTTTGTAATCCCATAACTTTTACGCACTAAGGCGCTAAAACATCGCGCGAGGGATTTTAATATAAAGTCGCGCAGCCGAGGGCCTATCTCATACCAACCTGCAAATGCAGGCTTACTCATGCAGTCGAGACGATGGCGTACTATGTAGTGCTCATAACCAAGCGATCCCTCGTGGACCCGAGCACTGCTTATGACACTCAAGTGTCAGACTCGAAGTGCCGTGAGGGTCTAATCCTTCACGACATTGCATGGCAGAAGGAATAGTCGTGCAGCCACCGCGAGACCTCCGACCTTTGGTCTGAGCGTTTCGGTAGGCAAGGGAAATAGGCTCTGCGCGAGGGAAAACCCCTTTCCTGCAAAGCCTAGGGCTTGGGATGTCTTGGAAAAAGACCTTGAATCCCGGCCCTGGACCAATGTCCGACTAAAGAAATCCCCAAAAAGCAAAGCAAAAATACCAAGAAGGGTCTTGCTCCTGCAGACATCCACCCCAAATATACCCATTTGAATATATGTATATATATATAAGGGGCATGTATGTGACGATCACTTTTTACAGTCTCACTAGGGTCTCTCACAATAATACATATATGTGTGAACGAAGGCAACCAAATCCAGAATTTGATTCACAACACATACATGTAATCACATCAACGAGTCAAATCAACAGCCCACACACTACACGGGGTCAACCCCAACCACCTTCGACACTCATACCCCTTGCTTTAGCCATGCAAGCTCCAAACCTCTTGTCCAACCAACCTTAATTAAATACTCAGTACCTTTGTTAAATGGCCATTCAATAAAAGCCCGGGTGAAACCATAATGAAACAATAAAATTCACCACGACTAAAACCTTTTAGGTTGAGTGTGGAGGGTAAGTTGAAATTGAGTCGTAAACCGACGGATCGGCAACCGACCTGTTATCTGTGATAACAGAAGATGATCCTCAAGGGATCAGGCTGAATCTAGTCCTGATCTTGAATCAAAATGATCAAAAAGGAACTGTAACACACGGCAGACCAATCCCCAAGCTAAAATCATAAGTGTATGGAGCATACAACTCCATAATACATTCTTACTCAAAATCTTCCTATAAGCTAGACTTCAGTCTACTTTTAAGCCAGTGTTTAAGCTAAAGGTAGACTAGTTGCGGAATCTCCTCTATTATGGGTGGATTGTCAGAATCGCCACCTGTCGAAATATAATCTAACTCCTTCAAACTAAGAAAATTTCGGCAGCGCTTCCCGTAGGAAAAGTGCCTTTCCAGAATTTATATAAGTCAAAATATGAAAAATAGGAATAATTTCTAACTCTGGAAAGCCAAATTTTGTCTAACTCTCTGAATTAGTAGAAATTTTGGCAGCACTCCCTTTAGAAAAGGAGACTCTCCAGATTTATACTAAGTCAGATATAAAAGCAAAAGCAATCTCTAACTCTAGAGAATCAAATTTTGTCTAGCTCTCTGAATTAGTAGAAATTTGGGCAGCACTCGCTTTAGAAAGGGAGACTTCCCAGATTTATACTCAGTCATATATGAACTCGAACAACAGCTCGAACTCAACTTTAAACTGAATTTAACTTACTCCTTAATTTTGTAAAAATTTCGGCAGCACTCCCTCTAGAAAAGTGTTATTCCAAAATT